CCTGAAACTTAGGTCTTTGTTTCCAAAGTTTGGGAAACACTCATAGTATCTGAACATGGGGCAAGAAGAAAAAGGAAAACTAGGTTGTTTATAACTGCTGGGAAACAAAAATGTGCTATGTTTTTCTGAGGTTTATCTTCAATTGCTTTCCATTTCTTTGAGAGGAAGTCTGCTGCTTGGTTCATGTGAAGTATTGCTTAGGCAGAAAGTTTTCCTTCCCATCGTTCTGGAGGGTATAGCTCCTCTGCACTTTATGACTCACACTTGACATGTTGTCCTGAAGAGACTACTCACTATTGTTTGAGGGGGCTACAGTGAAACACAAAGAAAAAGTGGGAGACAGAAGGTCAAACGAGGAAAATCAACTAAATATATTTGCCACTCAGGGACTTTTATAAATTGCAGAACTGTATAAAAGTGATACATTAAATAATATTAAAATAACTTTGAGGTTCATAGCAGACTTTACATTTTCTTCTTTTTATTTCTGTATTCCTTCTGAAAGGATCAGCTTTATAGAAAGATGAGATGATAAATGATTCAGAATAATTTATAATGTTTTTATGCTAATTCCAAAATTTTATAAACATAGATAAAAGTACAGAAAATAACAAAATGGATATCCCCCAGAGATTCAAGTGATATTATTATTTTCTGTGATTATTTAGATCTACCTTTTTTATCCCTACAGAAATAAAACACTGCAGGTAGCCCCCAAAGCTCTCCCTGTCTCCTCCTCCCCCTGTCTCCTTCTCCAGAGGTATCCACAGTTAGGAGGGAACCTCCTCTGTCTCTAGCCTCACATTTCCTTCCAGCAGAACTTACCATAGAGAAACATGCCTGTTTATTTCCTCTCCTTAACCTACTGCTCTGCAGGGAAGGAGGAATGCTGCACAAAGTTGCAGAGTTTGGAAGGAGGGCTTGGATTTGTGTGGCTCAGCCCCTCTGTGCTTCATTTGTTTGGGAGACAGTCTGCCTACTAGAAAGCTCCATCATCTGCTCTTCCCTTCCCTTACTAGGGCTTGGAGGTCCTTCTCTTATGGGAGAGGCCTGGGGCAACCCAGCTCTGCCAATGGCTGGTTGGACACATCCATTGAATTTCATTTGGACTTAAACTGAGGGAATGCTTTTCCTTCAGCATATCAGGAATAACATGCTGCCGTTCACTGGACTGCAGATGGGGGGACTAAAAGGGCTATTACGACGTTGCAACACCCCCTCTGGGGTTTCAGGGATATGGGCACCCTTGCCTGGGTGTCACCACGTTCCCCTCATCTGGATGCCAGAGTCCACTGCAGGAGTTGCTTGTGACATGCCCAGTCCAGCTGCAAGCCCTGCATGGAGGCCACTCCTGTGCCAGTGCTTGGAATGGCTGGCACAACTCCACACTTGCTCACTCACACACCCCCTCCCACCAAAGGCTTAGCGCACAGTTGCTGTGGGCATGGAATCTGCACTGGAGTGCAAGACAAGTACGACCTGCCAGGCTGAGTAGACAGGGTGTCTTCTGCAGTAAGCCTGGGCCTGAGCAAGGCCTGGGCAGGGGTATCACTGGCTGGAGGTCTTCAGCTGGCAAAGAGGCCAAGAAAAATCCTGTGTTACATCTGTGATAGCCTTTATTGGGTGATTTGAAGTCAACAAACAAGTCCAGTGTTGGTTCTACATTGGTAACCCTGTAGTATGTCACTTGGGGGGTCATGGGACACTGGGAGATGAGGTCGACAAGCCTTGTTTGAACACGGATGCTTCTGGAACACTAAACGTCTTGAAGACTCAATGTTAGTTTTGCTCTTCTGTCCAGGCTGGAGTGAAATGGTGCCATCTTGGCTCACTGCAACCTCTGCCTCCTGGGTTCAGGCAATGCTCCTGCCTCAGCCTCCTGAATAGCTGGAACTATAGGCTCATGCCACTATACTGGCTATTTTTTATATTTTTACCAGGCTGGACTTGAACTCCTGACCTCAGGTATCTGCCTGCCTCTGTCTCCTAAAATCCTAGGATTATAGGCATGCGCTCCTTCCCCCGACCCAATGAAGTGTTTTTAACATATAAAACAAAGAGGGGGGTTCAAATAAATGCCAGGGTTTTAAGTTATTATTAATATGTGTCTATGCTACTGGTAAGGTACTCTCTGTGGCACATTTCGCTAGATAATCACAGCTTCTTTTGTGCCCTCTTCCTTCCTTTGGCATCTTCATTTATAAGTTTATTCAATCTGCCATAGGTATGCGTAAAAGGAATACGCTTTATCTTGAAGCCAGGGAACTTACGCTCTAATCCTGCATCCTGCACATCCTGGCCATTTCACCAAGTGGCCTGAGGTTGAGCAGTATCCTGAATGACCCCGGGTTACCTTCCTGTGAGTGTGTGACTCATGGGATGAACTCCCTCTCTTGCTGACCCCAAGCTGGGAAGGGTCCTACCCTGTTCTTCTTTCAATCCCCTCAGTAGTAAAAGTTACAGGTATCAATTCCTGGATACATCACACTGCAGTCAAAGCCTAGAAAGCTAGAGAGCAACCCCTGACAGCCCAGAGGAATGTCCTGAATATCAGTGACAAAAAAATAGGAGATCGTAAACTGAAAATAATAAAAGATAAGTAAATGAGTAAGGGCTACACATCTTACTCAGTCACACCTTTACCTCACCAAATACTTTTTGTCATTTCTACCTTTCCTCTTGAGATTCGCCACCAGATATTAGAACTTTTTAATGCATATTTTTAGGGAGATTTTATTTATTCATGGGATTACATTTGTAACTTCATAAAACGCCAGAGAGAAATTCTGTATCTTGGGGAGTGAAAATTTTAGGTGGAAATGATCTACTACACCACCTTTGTGGGAATTGGTATACATGCTCTACTATTTGCAACACAACTAAACATTGTGGCACCTGCAATGTGGAATTCTGGTTGGAAAATTCTAATTGCTATAATATTCTGCCTAATTATCATGTTTATAACAAGATTAATAATTGATGGAAAACTATAGCCAAAGTTAACACTAAAGTTATTCTAGCCACCCAATTCAATGCCACTTAGGCAAAGAAAAATGTGAGTAACACTTCTGGTAAAGTTAGTGACATCTGGTGGAGGCAAACTGGTATTATAATCCACTAAAATGGCTAAGCAGGTATCAAACTCTACGTCATGGTTATGGCCTATAGTACCCCCACTAATAATGGTAACTTAATGCTCATATTCAAACCCTATATTTGAACCTTCTTGTAAAATTTATCTCTTTTGGCCTAGAAACAGTCAAACTTTAAATGGTGCCTCAGACAGAACCACACATGGACACGCCTTTCTTCTGAGGACCCTTAGATTGATCTCAAGAGGAGCCCTAGTTGCTGTCCCCCGCTCAATGCCCCTTTTCAGCAGGAAGTAGCCAGAAACAATCTTTGTCCAACACCCTCTAACAGCAGTTAGGTTTACTACTCCTGAGGGGAGGAATAATACAGGAGCTAAAAAGAAATTATTGAAGCAGTTAGTGAGGGTAAGGGAGTTCTTGGTAATGTTTTCCTTTTATTAAAAAGCAGCCCCCAAATAATTTCTAGGAAAAGCAGCCTGAAAAATCAAGCTGCAAGAATAGATGAGCAAGCTAGAAGCTTGCAAAGTGAATGCCAGCAGCTGTGCCAATAGAAAAGGGATACCTGGAAGCCAGGTATATTCAACATGGATGTTCTCTCTTCCCTTTTCACCATGTGTGCAGTAAAAAATCAAGCAATATGGTGCTGGCCAGGTGGAGACGCCATCTGTATAATGAAAGATTAGGGTGGGCTGGCCAGCACTTCCCATACTATGCAAATAGCACACCTGGTCCAACCAATCCACTACACCCAAGGTAAATCAAACACAACTACTCAAACTCATCTATAAAACCAATATCATCTTGCCCCAAACCCAGAAATCCATTCGGGACCCCTTCCTCTGCTTGAGGAAGTGCTCTTCTTTCTTTCAGTTAAACTTTTGCTCTTAAACTCACTCCTTGTGTGTCCACATCTTCAATTTTCTTGGCATGAGACAACGAACCTCTGTCATTTGTATTATGCCAGACAAATGACAATGCTTCAAAGGTCCCCTCCTGTGGCAGAAGCTGGCACCATGTGATTAATAGTGGGGGGCGGGGTGGACTTTCAAAGGAAGGACATTCGGTCTCTATCTTTCTTCTCTCTCTCTTACTCACACATGCACACACACACATACATACACAAACATACCTGTTTATCCTCTACATTCTTTTAAGCAGAAGATGGTATTCTTTATTCTGTGCTCCAATAACAGTTAATGTCCTGTATACATCCCTAATTTCATTGTCATCTCTGTTTCCCTTATTTGACTATAAATTTCTTGAAGCCAAATCATGTATGTTATTCATTTTGGTGGCCCTGGCATCAAGCATAGTGTCTGTTATCCAGTAAGTATCAATAAAAGTTGAATGTCCACAATAGGTAAATAAATAAAAGAAATGCTGTGTGTCAGGGCGGGGTACAAAGGACAGGGAGAAGACATAGTGAAACAGAGTTTGAAGGTAAAGCTAAAATCAAAGAAACTGAGAGTTCAGTTTGAGACTGGAAAAAAGAGCAGAGGAAGTGTCTTGTGTATCAGGATGTCTGATACAGTGAGTATGACCTCTTCTACAGAAGGTCAGAGCAAGGGAAACATGACCAGATCTTCCAAAGACGTGAAGTTTATGTAAAATTGTAACACTTTTTTACACCTGTGTGTGTTTGTGTGTGTGCGCGCATGTGCATGGGCAAGGTGAGGCTTAACATTTATACTGAAACAACTGGTCTTTCTTATTTTGAAATAGGGAAATAAGTATGAACTGGTTTTCTCTTCATAACAGGCAAATATTCCTGGTTAGCTTTTGTTCACTCATTAGTTTTGTTTGAAAACTGGTGGGGAGAAAATGGAGTTCAAATTTGGGTTTATGTCTGTCATTGTTGACAGACAACAAAATAAGTATTAAACAACAAAAAAACAACAAAATAAGCATTAAAATATACACTCAAAGATTTTATTTTGAAGCCAGCTACTTCCATATACCCTGAGACTTCATTATGGGGTTTGCCTTTACGCACTAATGAGTAAATGGGATAAATCACTAGCACCTGTGATAAGAGCCTGCGCACCACAGCAAATCAGTTAACTCCTGTTGACAACTGAGGAGTAGAAGAAAAAGTTGATTCCTTTGCTTCATTGTGACCCACTGAATCATCCTCCTGCCTAGTCTTCTGGGATATGTCTATGACTATTTGGCTAGTCTAGTAAACTACAGTTTAAGATAAAATGGTCAATGAGAACAGAAGGAAAGACAAGAATGGATGGCAGAAAACCTTCAAGGCCGTGTTTACACAGTCAAAGAAATTTTCATCTTTTAGAGTATTCATGATCTAGCAGATTTAGAGCCATTAATGAACAGAAAATTATTTGACAGAAAAAAGGGAGACAAAGTTCAAAAAAAAGTTGTGATTCCTGTGACCCAGGCATTTAATTATTTGTGTATATAAACAAATCCCAAGTCCTTAAAAATATGAACTAGATGCCCCTTCCAAGGTGGACTGTGCTTAGTGACCTGCTTTTAAAGAATGGATTATAGAAAGAGGAGGGAAAGAAGTAGTGACTTTACAGAGTAGAAACCTGGAAAACACTATCCCAAACACATGGTCAAGGTGAAGTGTATCAGTGATGATAAGTTGGTAGCATGACCCTTGATGTGACTTGGTGAAAACGGTGCTTTACCTCTGTTATCATCAGCCAAAAATTCACTCAAGTCTAAACATCAGAAAAATATCAGACAAACCCAATTTAGGAACATTCTATAAAAATCTCATCCAGTACTACCCCAAACTATCAAAGTCCTCAAGGAAAAAGAAAATCTGAGCAAGTCTAAAGGAGCCTGAGACGTCATGATGAAATGTAATGTAGTGTAATGTCATAGCCTTGCATGGATCTTGACAGAGAAGAAAGGTCATTTGGGAAACCCTTTGAGATCCAAATCCAAATGAAACTTTGGAGAGGAAAAATGGACAAGATAGACAAAAAGGTAGACTTCCTGATGCATCAAATAAACAAATGTAAAAAAAAGGAGCTAATAACAGGTACGGAGTTCCAGGAAGTTGAAAGAGAAGCTTAATTATGAGAAAGCCTCAGTCTAAGAGAGAGCAGTTCTCTGAGAAAAGGACTACTAAGTCCTTTTGAAACCCCAGACCTGCAGCTATTTCAGAGGAATTTCCAGTCCATCACTGGGACATAGACAAGTGCTCAGCCTTCCCTGGGCATCAGTCAATGCAGGAAAAGCATTTTCAAAATGCTCAGAGGTGAAAGTTTCCCTTCCTCCATAATCCCCACAAGCATCTGTGTGGTTTTTCTGTGAGTGTATGATGTCTTCCATTGATACTCATGTTTTTAATATAAAAAGGTCCTTCCCAACTTTATCCTAATTTATGGATGTTTTGTCACTAGCTTCTTCATAGCTCCAAATGATAAGGTAAAAAACAAGATGATCTTTAAAAGAAATGCTTATTTGAGTCTGATAAGTTGATCAAAATCAGGCAACCCCTGTCATCCTACCCCACTCAGTCCTCCCTGAGCAATACACACAGGAGAACAAGTTTCACCATGGACTCCTCACTCCTGGCAGACAGAACATAGCAAGGTGGCAGGTGGAGAGTTTAAGCTATTGGCATCTTCCTCCCCTCTTCTCCCATGCTTCCCTCTTCAGAAACTCTGCTCACCCACAAGGGTCCTATGAACAGGTAAGCAGACTTCAGCAGCGTAGAAATCACTTGTATAAAATTTGTAGAGAAGGAAGCAGATGCCAAAATGATTCCCAAGCTTAACACCTTCATACCACACAAGACCTGGATAATCTGTGGAAAGAGAAAGGGGGACTGAGGATTAAAACCAGCATTTGTAATGTAACCCTGCCAGGCCAGATGCAGTGGCTCATGCCTGTAACCGCAACACTTTGGGAGGCCAAGGTGGGCAGATCACCTGACCTCTTCATCTGCCTGCCTTGGCCTCCCAAAGTGCTGGGATTAGAGGCATGAGCCACTGCACCTGGCCAGGAATAAATACTTTTAAGACAACCTCTTGTGCAAAAGTTCTGGGACAGTTTTCTCCAAGTGGCTTCTACCCTTAAGTCCCTCTGGCAAAACTTAAGGGTCTCTACACTCACAATGGATGTCCGGTCCCAAAACCTACATCATCCCTTCCCCCTTCCCCCGACCCACCTCCAACATGTTCTGAATTAAATTTACCCCAATAACTTTGACTTCTGCCTGTAGACGTTTCTTCAGGCTCTCCTGCCCCTGGTTGGTGGGTTCGAGTTTCTCTGCTTGGGAGAAGCTGATGGCATTTGATGGGAGCACTATGATGGTCTCATTGGGAATAGGTTGTGACGTCATGATGGTGCTACCAACTACGGAAGAAAAAATAGATTTAGCTCTTAAAAAGTACGGAGCTCTCAGATTCTGGCTGCAAAACCGGTAAGTCAGTTTCTGCCAATTAGTCCAGACTTGGCCTGTCTGTTAGGAAAAGAAACTGATGGTATGGAGCAGTGAAAACCACACAACCTTGGTTTCATGAGGATTTTTCCATAATGGTTGACACAGTCCATTATAGATAATAAACATATCACAGGGTGGCAGCAGCATGAATCTTGAGAGGTCCCAATATCCAGAGGCAAATGGTCTTGCAAAATTTGCAATATGCAACAATCTCCCCTTCTCTATATTGCCATATGTTTGATGAATGTTTTAGACTAATAAATGAACTCTGCTTATCCAATTTTTTCTAATATGATTTATTAGCATTCATTGTAGATCCATTTATCATATTTTACTAGATATGCTCTTAGTTCTTATCATGCAGTGGTTTTAATCCTTACGACAGCTCTATATGTTAGTAAGCTAGTAAAAACATGTAATAAATAAGAAAATGCAAAATAAAGTTTAAGTTATGAATGTGAATAATATACACATTGCATATATGCATGGCACAGAACTAATGCTGAAGAAATATTAGCAGTTACCCTTCTTGTTCAACCCCATTCACACAGCTGGGAAGCTCTAAAGCCAGTCTTGGATCCCAGCTTTCCTTGAGTGTGAAGCCTCTGCATAAATCTCCAGATTATTCTACCTCTTCCTACTTTCCCACCTGGCAATGCCAGCCTTTGCCTGAGTTTATTCAGCCTGGAGAAGTAGCTGCATGCAGTAGTATGGAAACAAGTCTTGGAGTCATAACACAAGGGCTCGCGTCCTGGATCTTCCACTTGTTAGCATAAGGACAAAGTTGGCTGTGGTATTTGTTGCTGAGCTCAGCTTGGATCTCTTTTCACTGCTCCATTCTCAGCCTACAGACTGCCCTGTTTGCAAATGGCCTAAGAACATTTGAAGAGACAAGAGCTCTGCTCCCATTAATTACACAATCTTAATTATGTAATTAAGTGACTCACCAGGATCATGCAGTTAGAATACAGAAGAAACAGAGTTAAAACCAAATGCTCCTTCCATTTTCCCACTCCAAAATGCTCTAGTGTCTCGTAACTGCTGTCAAGGAGTTTCAAGTCAAGTTACTCCTCCAACAAGGTTACAGAAAGGAAATGGTGAGATGAGAAAAGTCTTTCAGCATTACCTACCTGTGCCCGTTGGTTCCAGCTGAGTCCTCAGAAGCTCCCAGGAGGGAGCTGGACACTGTCTGGGTTCTTAGACAGCCCCATCAATGGTTTCTGCTTACCTTCATCTTCTGAAAGTCATCCACCCTTCCTTATTCCAGTGTTTGCAGCTATACAGGATGTGATACTTACAGATTGAAGATTTGTGAAATGTGCCTGCACTTCCTTTTCTGTAAACTTCTGGAAACTTCAGAAAAATCACGAAAAGAACCAACTTATGACTGTGAGAATTCATGAGTCACGGAGCTTTATGTGTGAATTGCCACTTTGAGATGTTCAAGTTACCTGTTATTATGCCAGGCTGTTCTTAGAGCCTCATTTTTCTAATCTGTTAAATAGAGGAGCAATACCAACACTGGAGAATTGTCACAAAGATGAGCTAAAGTATTTAAAAAAGCCTATGCTGCTTTGAGGCTTTCAATAATATGTAACTAATAATAGTAATGTTGCTAGTAGTTATATGACAATATTTTGTCATATATAAGTTACCATAATAATCACAGCAATAATGATGATATTGCTTTCAATTAACATTCAATAATACATAGCTAATAATAGTGTAGAATATAGAAAAAAACTTTCATAAAAATTGTTTTTTTATGTATATATTTTGTTTTTTATTTTATTTTATTTTTTCTTTTTCTAGTTCCCCCAGCTTTTGGTAAGCTGAAAGCAGCCTTTCAACACTCATTGCCCAATTGCCACCTACCCTGAAGTCACCTTCCTCCTCTGGCCACTCTCTCTCTGTAGCAACATCTTTGCCCTCTGGAAAGGCAGGGCTACTCTAGGGAAGTAGTGAAGCTTGAGAAGGAACAAATGGGAAAGGTTTAGCAGGACCTAAACAAATTCGACAAACTCACATGTAGGCTGGTTTTGTGAGGACAGAGCCACTGTGCCACTTCAAACCCTTGGCTGGGCATTCTTTGGAAGCTGCCTTTAATGTATCAGATAAGGAAACCTGAGTCAGCCAGGTGACTGCACAGCCCCACCCTGCAAGCTTCCTTCCTCCTTTCCTTGGGACAGCTGGCAGAATGAACCCAGAAACACAACCTGAACCATCACTGTCACGTCAGAGGCCCATGGGTTCTGCACTTAATTCAAAACATTAACTCTTCTATTGAAGAAAAGACTTAAGAAGTGCCATTGAGAAAGGCTGGATTAATTCTCAGGGTCTGAATGATACAGACACTATGAAATGTAATTGGCTTAAGTTCTAACCATCAGTCTGAGAAGGGGAATGGACTCACCCAGAAAGCCTGGGAAGAGGGGCAGGCTCTCCCCAAGTTTCTGTTATGGTGAACCCCAAGTTTCTCTTCAGGGAATCAGTATGTCAGTATGTTCCGCTCTCTTATTCTTTAATTCTCTATTTTAGGGTTTAACTTCCTTGTAATTCCAGTAAACAACCTTCTCCACGGGTTCTAATCAGTTGTTCAAATCTGTTCCCCCGGCCCCCGGCTCTGTCCTGACTCATCCCAGTTACCTGCTCCAGTCACCTGCTCTGGTCACCTTCTTTGACCTAGATCACCCCTAGCTACCTGCTCTGACCCACCTGTAATCATCCTTCTGGCCAAAACACCTACCCTGCCACTCCAGCTTGAACCCCTGCTCTCTTTAAAATAGCCAGTCGGGATTAGTCTAGCCTGTGCAGTCTAACCCTAGCCTTACAGGGGAATGACACAGCAGTAGGGATGACCCCCATGAGGCATAAGAACCCCTTTCCCCCCTTGTCCAAACATTCAGCCACCGTTGCTACATCTGTGAGCCACACCCTTCTATAGAAGCGTCAGGTAGTTCTTCATAGCAATATGAAAAGGGACTAATACACCCTCCCTATCATGCCTTCTTAAAAGTTTCAAAAAAATCAAATTAGTCTTCAAGTTTAATAAGCTCCTGCAAGAAATAAAGTAATATCTCGTGAAAAAAGAAAAATGTGAGCACTCAATCAAATAAAACTCATAATATCCAGCATCTAGTCTACATTATTATATATGCCAAGAAGCAGGAAAGTCACAATAACAAATAGCCAGGAGAAAAATTAATTAATAAAAACAGACCTGTGAATTTCAGAGATGACAACAAAGAGAAGGGCATTAAAATGCAGATTATAAACATGCATGAGGATTTCAATAAATACATGGATGCAAAGAGGATAAAAGTGAAAAATGTAAAATATTAAACAAGATAAAATAGAAAAGCATTAGAAAAGGAAAAGCAAATAGCTAAAGAATAGGAACAATTACAGAAAAAGAAAATGGGGAAAACCATGTGCTTTAATTAATATGAAACTCAACTGAAATGGTTTAGACCATAAATATTTATTAAAAGTCAGAGTTAAAATAAATTTCAGAACCTAGCTTCTCATGGAATCGAGGATTCATTGTATTTCCATTTATTGCCATTTCTGCTTATTTGACTTTCTCTTAAACTTGCTTCCTTTATAGACATACACATATGCCAGTAATAAAGCAGGCTACATGTATTCTTACTGATGTCAATAAGAGATATAGAACATCTACACTGAAATAAATGCAGTAGTATTAAGTTCTGTTTGGTGGTTCTTGCTAGATTACCTTCCAAACTTCAACCAAGAAGACAGAATGTCTTAACTAACGTTTTCCACACATTGTCCATCTCTGGAGCTGGAGAAAGTAGACAGGCTAGCGTTGCTAGAAGAAAGGCCTCGCATTCCCATGAAAAGCATGCATGGAGAAAGGATGAATACTACAATAGATATGTGATTGTAGGGCAGAATGCAATATATAGAAATACTATATACTGAGTTGGAAAATAGGAATGTCGATGAAAATGCAGTAATTTTTATCTTGTCATAATGAAAATATTACTTCCTCAAAAAAAAGCTTTCCTGTTTACACTCTAATGACTCATCTGTCGCCACTACTACCAGCAACTACTCGCTAACACATTAATTCTTCCAGTTAGCTTCTAACAACATATAAAAGGTTTTGATTAATTGTTTATGTGTTAATCTATGTACTGTCCCATAAAAGTTGAACCTACAAGAGATGAGGGATATTATCTCTCTTACCACTATTATCTTGAATATATAAGATATTATCTATCTTACCACTATTTTCTTATATACTTAAAACAATATCTGCCTCATTATAGATACTTTATAAATACATGCCAAATAAAATGATAAATTGATATATATAATACATATCTATGTACATATATACATTTCTTTGTATTAATTAAAACTTTTGAGGCTCCATATGTACCAGAGTACTGGTATTTCTACCTCTGTTATACCAAGTAATTCTCACAGGTCTATGGACCAGACAATATTGTTACTACTTCCTTGAAAAGAAATATGAAGCACAGAGAAATTCTGTGGCATGTTCATAGCTACGTAGGTAGCAAACAACAAAGATGGGATGGCAAGAATAAAAACCCAGGGTTGTCTGATTAGAAAGCCCACGTTATTTACCACCAGACTGTATTTTTGACATCAACACTTAGTATCTTTCCATCATATCGCATCAGAAAAGAAAGTAGGTAGCACATGAAAGTATTGCTTCTAATTGTATTTATTTTTGCTCTGCAATGAAAACAAATGTATTTAAAAATACCGTATGTTGCACAATTCCATATATGGCACAGGATACAAATTCGGTTAAGATATAAGTCTGCTCGGGAGAAGGTGGGAGAAGGGAAAGGAAGAAGAAGATATAGAAGATGAATCTGATTCTTAATATGATTTTTACTCCATCTCTGCTTTTACTCAAATGATAGCTGGTGCAGATGCAAGGACAGACTGTCCTATTTCAAGGTGCTGTCTATGGGGAGAGGAAGAGAAGGCCAAGAATCTCTACCTCCTGAAGGAAAAAGCACTTTGGTCCCCATAGGTGGGCGAAAAAAGAAGTTAAATAAATGAGAGGAATATTATACAGGGGAGCAGAAATGTGTGTTTTGTGTGGAGGCCTCATTTTAGCAATACCTTTTTTACTCTTCTGCTTCCAAATCTTATTTGCCAATGTAATGCCTTTATAGAAAGTTCTTATAATGAATGAAAAACTTTCAAGTGCTGTTGCCTCATTAAATGCGTTATTTATTTATTTAACTTCTAGTACACTGATAAAGAGCCAGGGAAATGAGTTGTTGAGTTCCAGGGAAAAAAACTGAGAACATACTTTTGAATTTATTATCTCTCTATATATACACACACAGTTTATAATTGGATTACATATAATAATCATATGAATATGTCTATCATTATCAGAGTTGGATTCTGGTACTTTCTCCTGTGGGGTTCTTGTGTTACAGTCAGCACAGATTTCGGGAGCATTTTTCTGTTGCTCTTTTGGCGGCATCAAAGCTCATTAAGTGGAGCAGGAGATGCTGTTTCTGCCGTGTGAGAATTTGGTGGCAGCACTAACACAACCTGTGAATCAATCAGAATGCCATAGGTGAGTCACCCAAATAACCTCAGAGTGCCCCTTTCCTGCTCACATAAAGTCAGCATTATTAGAGTTTACTCTTTTCTTTTCTGAATCATTGTCAAGATCAATCTTGTGGGGCTTCTCAGTCGTTCTCTAGATCAGGCCAGATTTAGGACACAACATTCAGTGATCGCTCTTGACCTGAGTTGCTGATGACCACTTTCCTGGTCTTGCAAGTGGATCAATCTTATGTGTGGATAGTGGTGCCCAATATGTTGAGTAAGCCAAGGTGTCATGAAAAATATGGGGCTCTCCTTCCAAACCAGGGTGTTCATGCTGATGACAGCAACATACCCAAATCATGATTTGCTGGTTATGAGTAAAGCATTTGCAAAAACCACACTGGCCCAGAATAGCAGGGATCATCACAAAACGAAGAAAAGTTCTGGTTATTCTTCCTCAAACTCAGTTTGACATAGGGTTGGCGGAAGAACCGGGAAGAGATAAAGAGCTAGTCATCATATGCCCCCAAACCACTGCTTTTTGGAATTCACATCAGCAGATCAGAAAACAACATTCCCCAGCTCCTATGCTAAGAGCTGAAGGGAATATAGGCTTAAATATTATGACATGAAAGTTACTAGGGCATTTGCCTCCATGTCCAAATGTTTTACTTAATGAAAACAGAAAGCTTTACTCAAGGAAATTATAGAATTATTGGTAATTGCTGAGAATCTCTCAATCTTGGGTTTTGCAATGCAAAATCCCACTACCAGAGTTAATGTGCTATAGTCAAATTCTCTTCTGTGAGGAAGGGCTGTAGGGAAGTGGGATGTGGTGTTGCCTGTGAATCTCAAAAGAAGACAGAGAGGTACAAAATGATGGAGAAGGGCAACAGAAGAACCATCTCATCACACTATGATTATTTTATTATTTGGCTGTTGGTTTTGTCTGCCTGTGGGCCTTTGGGTAATGAAGCTAATGGGAAGCTGTTGGGGTTTATTATACATTTCCTCATTCTGAAACCCTGAATTCTTGGAGGATATCCCTCCCTGTTCTTCCTAGAGCCTCTTTCTTGGTCTCTTCTCTCCTTCCATTCCCCACTTTCCTCTCAGTGTGTGATATTCTTTGGGCTTGGCTGCCAGGAGCATCTAATGCAGGTCTTGGGGTAAGAGAGTGAGCAGGTGTGCACAGACTGAAAGAGAAGTCTGAGATCCTGACATTTCTTCCCTATTCCAGGAAAAGTTGTAATAGGATAATGGAATAAAATAAAATACCCTTTGGGGACCTTTTCATTTTGAATTATTCTTGTATCTGGATTCAGAGGTTATGCCCTTTAATGGAGAACGGAAAGTGAAAAAGAGTTCTAATGTAGCTGTTGTGGGAGGCAGAGTTCTAAGGTGACACTTACTGACCCCTGATGATTCCCTCCCCTCCAGTGTGAATGGAACCTGTGTATAAGATGGGATACAAGTCCTGTGTGTAGGTACTGACTACCTGACTTTCAGTTTATCAAAGAAGGGATTATTCTGAATAGACCTCACCTGTTCATGTGAACCCTTTATGAAAGGATTATAGCATTAGCAACTGAATTTCCTGCTGGTCGTAGAGAAAATGTACATTGTCCTGAGTTCTCCAACTGAGAGGAAATGAATTCTGCCACATTAGCATGGAAGAGAATCAGAAGCTTCAGACAAGGCCACGGCCCCAGCCAACTTCCTGATGACAGCCTTGTAAGATCCTGAGTCAAGGACCCACTTCAGCTGGCCCAGACTCTTGACCCATGGAAACTGAGAGATAACGAATGTGTTCTGTGTTAAGATTCTAAGTTTGTGTAATTGATTATGCAGCAATAGAAAACTAATACAGACATCTTCAAATGAAGGCCAATACTCACCCCACCGGGGCTGCAACACATCACTTTACATCCAAAGGCAGAGAGGGACACAGCAATGCAGAATTCCAGCACACTTAAGAGGAGCACCAAGCCATCCATACCCTGGGAGAAAACTCATACCGAAAAAATGTGAGAAACGGAGATGACAGGTGAAAACATTTACCAGTAACCACAATGTCACAAGAGGAAAAGCACTGGCCGGGAGTCAGGAAACCTGCCTCCCAACTGCAGCCACACCCTTGACCAATTCTTGATCTGCTGAAGTAACTTCTCACTTTTTCACTGACAAAATAATCGCAGACATTTATTCCCTAGTTCAGTACTTTCAAGTGCTCTAGTGCGTAAGAAAGATGAAAGTGCTTTAAAAAGTCAGGAAGGCAGTATAAAGACCATTATCATCCTAGTCCTACTGAGTACTAGAAGTTCATATCATTGACAACATATTTTGATTCCACGTCTTAGTGCTTGTAAGCAGAGTAATGGTCCCCCAGGGAGGTCTGCTAATCCTAATCTAATCCTCAGGTTCTGGGGTTTAGAATGCAGACCCGCCTGGGGGAATCATTGTTCTTTTTGTATAGCAAAAAGTATTAAATTTACAGATGAAAGTAAGGTTGCTTATTAGCTGAGATAAGATAATTTTCCTTGATTATTCAGGTGGATTCAAAATAATGACAGAATCCTTGTAAGTGGAAGCAGGAGGCAGAATAGAGTCCAAGAGAGACCTGAAGATGCTGCATTGCTTGATTTGAAGGTAAAGGATGGGATGACAAACCAAGAAACACGGGCAGCCTATGCAAGCCAGTAAAGGCAATAAAACTTACCATAGCCTAATCTTCAGAGAGGAGTACGGCCTTGCCAATGCCCTGATTCTAGCCTAGTGAGACCCATTTTGAACTTCTGACCTCCGGAAATATAAGATAACCCAACAGTGTTGTCTGGAAACACTAAATTCATAGTAATTTGTTATAGTAACAGTAAGAAGCTAATACAACAGTGAACACAAGTAGATCAGTCTTTATTCCATCACCCGAGAGCACTGATTTAGGTCTAGTCCTCAGCTAAGAAAGATGGTCAAAATTTGGAGAACACTGGGCAGTACACTGATTTCTATTAATTTCACCCTGGATTGACACAGGGATTATCTGGTTTAAATATTCTCTTTTTCTCTTCATAGTGAGGGATAGTCCCTCTGTTGTGGAAGAGCCAATAGACCAAGAGCTCAGGATATGAGTGATGCAGACTTAAGGAGACCTTGAGAATATGTGCATTCATTGCTTATTTATTTTCTGGTGCCTTCAACAGACGTAGTGACCTCTCGGTTTCAAACACTGTTGTAGGCACAGAAGATAGAGCAGCAAACAAAACAGACAATTCTCCTGTCTTCATAGATTTAACATCTAGAAGGGTAGACTAGAAGATGGCAAGCTTTCTATGAAGGCCAGATCATGTACATTTTAAGTTTTGCAGACTGTAAGGTCTCTCTCACACATGTTCAAACCTGCTGTTATCACAAAAGCAGCACTACACAGTATGTAAACCAATGGGCTTCTTTATTTTTTATTTTATTTATTTATTTATTTATTTATTTATTTTGAGATGGAGTTTCACTCTTGTTACCCAGGCTGGAGTGCAATGGCGCGATCTGAGCTCACCGCAACCTCCGCCTCCTGGGTTCAGGCAATTCTCCTGCCTCAGCCTCCTGAGCAGCTGGGATTACAGGCATGCGCCATCATGCCCAGCTAATTTTTTGTATTTTTAGTAGGGACAGGTTTCACCATGTTGACCAGGATGGTCTCAATCTCTTGACCTCATGATCCACCCGCCTTGGCCTCCCAAAGTGCTGGGATTACAGGCTTGAGCCACTGCGCCCAGCCTAAAATTTTTAAAGAAAATTTCAAGATAGCAACAGCAGAGCATTAGATCAAGCACAGGGCTCTTTCAACTGTGAAGACCTGAGTAACCGCACAGGTCCCATGCCCAGGAAATCAGCCCTATGAAGCCGGCCAATTCCAGATTTTGTTTCTATCATTGTGCCCTTAAAATCTATAAATGAAGAGACTGTCATAAACTGAAAATAAAGTTCTTCTTCAGGATAACAGTAGCAAATAAGAGGGGAATTAGAAACAAGAAGTTGTAGAATCTACTCTTGCTTTTGCCAATTTCTGAGTGATCTTGGAAGAATTTGTCAAATGATCTGAATAGGATTTTTCTTATTTTGAGTGAGTGGCAGGAAATAAAACTGCTTACTCTAAAGAACTTTAGGAATCTCAAGGGAAGTGAATTAGTTTAGCAAAGACACCTCGAGGGGTCATTTTGGTGTGACTGTATAGCCCACAAAACTATGTAGCATTAGCTAGGAATGAAGTAAACAGAGTGCAACTGATTCTGCTTAGTAGGTTAGGAACAATGTTGAGTGTCCATGTTTACCTGAGGGAAGGACACAATGAGGAGCAGAACTAAGCAGCAAAGCGAAAGGCTGAAAGTTCATATACAGGGACAGTAACAGAAAATTTGCTGGTGTTGAAAATTGCCAATAGGATTTTCCTTCCTCCCTTTCTCCCTCTCTTTTTCCCTCTCTTTCTCCCTCCCTCTCTTTCTCCTTCCCTCCCTTCCTCCCTTCCTTCCTCCCTTTCTCCCTCTCTCTCTCTCTCTCTCTTTCTCTCTTTCTTTCTTTTTGACAGAGTCTCTCTCTGTTGTCCAGGCTGAAGTGCAATGATGTGATCTCAGCTCACTGCAACCTCTGCCTCCCAGGTTCAAGCGATTCTCCTGCCTTAACCTCCCAAGTAGCTGGGATTACAGGTGTGCATCACCACGCCCAGCTAATTTTTGTATTTTTAGTGGAGACTGGGTTCACCATGTTGACGAGGGTGGTCTTGAACTCCTGACATCGGGCGGTCTGCCCGCCTTGGCTTCCCAAAGTGCCAGGATTACAGGCATGAGCCACCAAGCCTGGCAACACCTTTTAATAATAAAGATTTATTTGTGCATTTTAGTCTGCTGTGATGTGCTGCAAGAACTCCTCCTCCTCACTCCTACCCAATAGCCTAAAATGTCAGGCAGTTTTACTACCTACAGAATATTGTATAAGTGGTATTTTCAGAATAAAGCAATTAGGATAGCACTGAGATAAGAACAATTGGTACAAAAAGTAGTAAAATTCAGAATGAAGGTTGAGAATTTTCCAGGAGCTAGATGTTGAGGATAAAAATGGTTAACCTTGCAAGAACACCCAAAGATATTGAAAAGGGAACTGAGTTACTCACCACTTGTAAAATACTGTTCAAGACAATTTTGCTTCATTATTAGAGAATGTGGACTGGCATCTTGGCCCCAGTTTTAGTAAGGATAATAGTACATACTGAATCAATGTTTTAAAATTTAAATTGAAAAATTTATATAAAATACCCAGCACAGTGACTATTAATGAGTAGGTATCCTGTAACTGTAAGCTTTCTTCCCATTGTGCCTCATTATATAAAGAAGAAGAAGAAAGACATAGATGAGACACCTACCTAACTCCTAAATAAAAGATTATTCTATTTCTCAATCACTCCAACTTCCCAATGTCATTCAGCAATTAGGGATTAATTATTGTTGCCAGAGCCAGCACTCCCCAAACTTCCTCCTACAATGATATCCCATGAAAAGAGGCAGCACTAACCATCAGAATGGACACAGTCCCGTGACAGTCATTTGACTCGTAGTAGTAGTGACAGTAAGGGTGATGGAATGAATAAATATCCAAGCTAAATGCGTTGATTATGATCCCTGATACGGCCAATACAGAGCTGGTGATATTCATTCCTAGACTACCTCGGACCTAGAAAGGAATGAAAATCAATTAAACAACAGCATCCTCAGATATATCTACATGAATCACCAATACAGAGCTGGTGATATTCATTCCTAGACTACCTCGGACCTAGAAAGGAATGAAAATCAATTAAACAACAGCATCCTCAGATATATCTACATGAATCACTTTACCCCCACCATTTATTTCTTACTGCAGTCTATCTTTATCTTGATTGTTTCAATAGTCTTCTAACTTATCTCCTTAGAGTGGTTTCAACTCTAATCTCTTGCCAAAAAATAAATACAATCCCATTATTCCCCAGCTTAAATTCTTCAGATGATTCCTATGGGTACATGAGATGACCTCCAGATCTCTTCAGCAGTGTTTCCAATGTCTTTTGCACATTAGCGGGACCGCCCTGTGTGTGTCCTTCCCTGCCATTCCTTGCATCTGATGCCTGGTTTCTTATCATTTTTTTTAAATGCTGTTTGCCTCTCATGCCTCTCTACCTTTTGTATATTATCTCTCTCAGAAGCGTATTGTTTTCTGTACATTCTCTTCTCACAGGTAAAGGTTAGGAGGCTTTCAATAAGAGCTAAAATTGCACAGCAAAGTGTGAGGAGCCTAGTGTGGCTGCAGCTGGAGGAGACACAAGGCCAGATTTGGAAAACCCATATTTATCATGCTTCAGAGTTTGATATTTATCTTTTGAATAAACAAAACTCAAATATGAACTTGAACTAGAAAAAATATTTATTGAGATATGGGCTTTTGCATTTTATTGGCTTTATGAAAGGTAACTTGGCATGAGAGTTACATTTTAAATTTGCTTCTTCTTATGTAATAAGCTTATTGTGAATTTCTTTTATTGAAAACTCAAATACAGTTGGAATCTACATTTTAATCAATCAGTCAGTAAATATTATGCCACACCAATGCTTGGTGTCACTGTCATGGACTGACTCTCATGCTGCAGGGTTTTGTTGAGTAGTCCCACTTCTCAGTAATTCTCTATATCTATATCTGAGTAAATCTCTATATCTCTATAACAGATTCACTCAGCAAGGGCAAGATTCCCTTCCTTGCCAAAATATTACTGTCTTATGGCAGTAATTATATTACTAGCCTGATTGCAATTTTTGAAAGATAGATACTAGTAGGTAAAATGCACAATTGCTTCTGATTTTTTACAAACAAAGAAACAAAACTCATTTTGTACCCTAGCAGAATACATTTTTTATCAATCTTTTCTTTTTTTGGTACCAAAAAAAGAAAATATTACTCACCAGGCCTTTTGTAGTTCTAATTCCTGCTGCAACTGACAAGGATCCTGAAATAATAAACTGGGAATGAGAGAAAAACTGAAGGTAAAACACTTTTAACAAGTATTGGAATTCATAACTTACTTTGAAATCAGATAGATAGGTTAAATCAGACTGATATTCTTAGGAAAGAAAACACAAAAGTTTGCATATTATTTTCTCTTTTCCCGGAAAGAACAGGGAAATTATACCAGATAAATCCGTGGGAGAATATATCAAGCTTTTCAAATAACACCTACCTGAAATGATATTAAAACTGTTTGAGGGCACTAAAAGATAGTCTCCAAACTCCTGACACAAAGTAATTCTTACATGGTACCAAAAGTGATGATGATATTTAAATGAACAGTACTCTAAAATTATTCTCACTTAGAATATTTTGTTAAAGTTATAAGTAAAACTGTAGCAAAAAAATGTAAATTCACAATTAGACAATGACTAGAATACACTAGTTCATTTAATTCCAGCAGTAGGGCAATTATTTTTCATTTAACTAAAACAGCTAGTCAAGTTGGTTGGCCTCTCTACCTTAAAATATTCAATTCTTTTTTATTTGCTTTTGAAATTTGATTTCAGATGATTCAAAAATTATATCTTAATATAAAAAATATTAAACTAACAAAAAAGCTCAATACATTTATTTAACTTACTTCCAAATATCCAGACATAGTGATGATTCATGTTATCTAAATCACTGCTGGAATAAAAACACTAGAGGGATTCACCCATTATATGATATAAAATACATCATGACCATTTGGGATGCTTCTTCAACTCTACAAACATTTTTAATGTTGAAATATTCTAATTTATGCAATTAATGAATTTAAGAAAAAATTACATGCTAGTTGCTATTCATGTTTGCAGTGTTGATAGGATAGGACATTTAATACAATTCAACATCATTAGCAACTTCAACATGACTGGTAAAATATAAAGAATTATACTTTCTGTAATATGATAGAAATCTGTTTCAATCTAAAAGTCTTGGTTGTGTTCAATGATAAAAGAAAAGTAGGACCATTTCATTAAAGTCAAAATCAAGATAAAGATAAAGACTATTATATAATAAATACTATTCTGGGTAAATTAACCAAAATAATTATATAAGAAAAACAGTTGAAACAAATGGTTAAAACTATTCTTATTAAAGTATGAACAATATATATTGCAAACATCCAAAAATATGAATGAAAAAGTACCATAAACTATTTTAAAAATTCAGTAAGTCGCCTTGGAAAAACATTTTATACAGAAATTATTTATACATATTGTAAGTGTATATTTATGTTTGTGTATTTGAGAATAAGATTGAATAAGAGGACTTCATTTACCACAGGAAAGAATATGTATATAGTATCTCAGAGGAAAAAATTTAACAAGGAATGTGCAACATACAGGAATAGAACTGAAGGGTCCAAAAACAAGAGAAACTTGCGACTGGTTCTTGATATTGATACTTATACTGTATGAGGGAGAAAAAGGAGGCACTTTACAGATGAGGTCTGGAAAGAAAGGATGAAAGAATAATGGAAGGTGGTACAGAAAATGTTTCATTAATTAAGTAAAGGCTCATTTAAGGCAATGCCTGCAAGAGTCTGCGTGATGTCTCAGTGGAAAATGGTTCCTGCAGTTCCTGGCAATCTACTGAACATGTATGGAAGATTTGCACCACATAAGCTGGTTTTCAATGTAATCTTGGAAATGGAAATAAAAGCAGAAAACTAGGTGGTTAGATGCATGCAATTCTGAAAATACACTGACACTATTTGAATCTTCATTTCTGTGCCAAGTAGTTGTGATCTTGGGCAAGTTACTTAACCTCTCTTCATCCATAAAATGATGACAATGAACAATCAGAAGTTTTTGGTAATTGTTTGAAATGAAAATGTACGTATAAAGCACTTAGGAGAGTGCCACATGATAGTAAGAGTTTAATAAGAGCTATTATTGGCATTAGTAATTTGGGATACATAAAGTATTGAGCAACTTTCCTGAAGTATCTGCTCTTCCAATCTCGCACTTCTGATGCAAACAGGTGAAGGGGAGCAAAAAGCAAGCTCTGTTGTAAAACTCGAAAATATCTCATTCTCACTTTCAGAAATAAATTGAAACCCTGTAATGCTAAAATAGATTCCCTGATTCTAACATAAATCCAACTTATAAATTTTATTTTTCTCTCATCAGGGGACAAAACTTAGTATTTTATTCTGAATTTTACTCTCAATTTGCATTAAAACTGTCTTGTGTTTTCTCTTGTAAGAAGGTTTTAACATTTAAATTCCAATTCTAATTTTAATTTAATATTAATAATAGTTTTAATTAATTTAATATTAATTATAATAATTGTAGTTATTTTATTGAACTTATGAAACAAAATGTATCAAATACAACTTCATTTTCTAAGGTAATAATTTCCTGAGTTGCAATAGTCAATAGACTAGATGTTAAAAACTGCTTGTGTACCAGCCACATCTCCTCTTTTTCCTGCTCACTGAACCATCATTTTGTTCAGTTTCTCATGTGCTAAAAGGTAGGGTAGACTCCTCCCAGCTACAGAGGAGCTTGATTAGTCCAAGCCAATAATGGCAAGTTCATTATTTTTGCTGATAGTTGATTTGGGAATATGTTTGGGAATATTTACCAAAAGTGGGATGTGTCAACCATCTCCCTCTGATATGGTCTGCTAGTGGTCCTGTATGAAATCCTCGTGCCACTGAATGAAGCAGTCCCAGAAATGATAAGCCGCAAATCTTGTTGTGAAATCATCAGTGCTTTCAATGTTTATGACATTCTGGTTTGGGTCTTTGGCAATGTGCTGCTGTAATATATCTAACTGACATATATAAATATTTAATCTGCCCAGCTTTAATATAATACTATATTATTATTACTACTTTAAATATGATAAAATTGAATAAAAAATGGTCAGACACCACTCTCAAATTTACAGAATTATAAGATACAGTTAGACTAGGATTCCAAAGATCAGGATATTGACAACTACATTATGTTATCTTCAGTTACATCAAAATATACTCCACTTACCATCAGTGACCCCCAAATTGTGTACCCAATATACACAGTAATAGGGCGAGGTCCATAAATGTTAAATGCAATGCACATCATTGTTATCCCTATGCTAAGAGTCATCAGGGCAATCAGAATCTGCACAACCTAGAAATGATGAAGAAAGTGAAAACTGATTATCCACCACAAAAATGGTGCTTCCACCACCAGAGGTCATATCAATGTTACCTCTCAGGATGTCTACCATTACCAATAATTTCAAGGTTAAAAGAGTATGCCAGAACCATCCCAGAAGTGCTTTTCTGATACCTAAGATGCTGCTTCTACCACAGCTCACTCAGAGAACTGGCCTAGGAATCAGAGAGCAGTTATTGTGGCAAGGGGAAGTAACCTGAAGAAAAAAGAGTACATACAGGGGAAGAAAAAAAGAAAAGCAAATATATTTTCTTAAGGTCTAGGGTATGAAGACATGAGAATGAGTACACAGGGAACTAAAAATAGCAGAGTAAGAGTACCCTTATCCCATGGCATTCAAAAGGTTCAAAAACATTTAAACAACTTATCACAATTTGTGGGATGTAGTGAAAGCAATGTGTACAGGAAAATTTATGGCATTGAATGAATATATTAGAAAATTATGTTCTAAAATCAATCACCTGAGAGTCTACCTTAAGAAACTAGAAAGAGAAGAGCAAATTAAACTCCAAATAGGCAGAAGAAAAACTAGAATAGAAATTAGAGCAGAAATCATGAAATTGAATGAATAGACAAATCAATAAAATCCAAAGCAGTTTTTAGAAATATATGTATAAATAAAATAAAGCCTCTAGCCAGGCTAAGAAAAAGAAAGAGGACACAAATTACTAATATAAATGAAAGAAGAAACATCACTACAGTTCCCATAGAAATTAAAAGGATAACAAAATGATGCTATGAACAATTCTATGCCCACAATTTGATAGCCTTGATAAAATGGGTAACTCCTTAAAGACAGTTTGTCAAAACTCACACAAAAAGAAATAGACACTCTGAATATGCCTGTAATTATTAAATAAATTCAATCAATAATTAATAAATTTCCAAAACAGAAAGCATCAGACCTAGAAGGGCTCAGTGATGATTTCTACCAAACACTTAAGAAAGAAATTATACCAATTATTAACAGAAAATAGAAACAGAGGAAATACCCCTAACTCATTCTATGTAGCTAGCACAATCATCTATCAAAAACCATGAAAAAACCTTACCAGAAAAGAAAACTGCAGATCAACATCTCTGATGAACAAAGGTGCAAAAATCATGTACAAATATTTGCAAATGAAATCTAACAATGTATTTTAAAAATTATGTACCATGACTACATGGGATTTATCCCAGGTATGCAAAACTGGCTAGACATTAAAAAATTGATTAATGCAATTCATGATATCAACAGGCTATAAAAAAGTAAAATCAAATGATTATATTAACAAATGCAGAAAAAATATTGAACAAAATCCAATGCCTACTTATTATAAAAACTCTTAAAAAACTATTATAGAGGAGAATTTCTTCTGGTTGATAAAGGATATTTATTAAAAATCTACAGCTAACTTCATACTTAGCAGAGAATCCTGGAACTAACAAACAATTATATTAGGTTTATAGGATACAAGGTTAATACATGAGTCAATTACTTTATTATGTACTTATAATCAATAAGTAAAATTTGAAATTAAAAACATAATACCATTTAAATTAGCACCGCTAAAAGTGAAATATTTAGGTATTGGTATTTGGTATTTGTTAGGTATAAATCTAAAAAAAATGTACAAAATCTATAAGAAACTACTAGCTTTGATAAAATAAATTAAACAACTAAAGGGAGAGATAGTCCATGTCCATGGATAGGAAGACAAAACATTGTCAAGATGTCAGTTCTTCCCAACTTGATTGGTAGATTTAATGCAATCTCCATTAAAATCTCAGCAAGTTATTTTGTGTATATTGATAAACAGACTCAAAAATTTATAGGGAAAGGGAAAAGACTTAGAATAGCAAACACAATATTGAAGAAGAAGAAGAAGGAGTTGTAGTACCAACACTACCCAATTTTAGGACATACTATAAAGTAATAGTAATCAGGACTGTATTAGCAAAGAAAAAGACAAACAGATCAATGGAATGGAATGGAAAGCCTAGAGATAGTCACACAAATATAGTCAAGTGATCTTTGGTATTGAACTAAGGTAATACAATAAGAAAAAAAGACAATCTTTTTTAAAATAGCACTAGGCCAGGTGTGTTGGTGCATGCCTGTAATCCCAGCACTTTGGGAGGCCAAGGCGGGTGGATCACCTGAGGTGAGGAGTTACAACCAGCCTAACTAACATGGTGAAACCCACCTCTACTAAATACAAATTTTAAAAAAATAGCTTGGCATGGTAACACAAATAACTTGGCATGGTGACACATATCTGTATTCTGAGCTACTTGGGAGGCTGAGACAAAAGAATCACTTGTACCTGAGAGGCGGAGGTTGCAGTTAGCTGAGATCAGACCATTGCACTTTAGCCAGGGCAACAAGAGTGAGACTCCATCTCAAAAAAAAAAAGTACTTAAAAAACTTGATATCCATAAGTAAAAATAAAACTTAGACACATACCTTATATACTTCACAAAAATTAACTCAATATGAATCACAGACACAAATGTTAAACTAAAAATTATAAAACTCCTAACTGGTAACATAGGCCAAAATCTAGATGATCTTGGGTTTGGTGATGATTTTGTCGATACAATACCAAAGGCACAACCCATGAATTACGGAATTAATCATCTTAATTTTCATAAAATTTAAAAATATCTGCTCTGCAGATGAGATTGTCAAGAGATGAAAAGACAAACCACAGACTGGGAGAAGATATCAAAGGATCGTTATCCAAAATACACAACAAACTTAAAACTCAACAATAAGAACATAAACGTCCTCTTTTAAAACTGTGCCAAAGAATTTAAGAAAACACCTTACAAAAGAAGATAAACAGATGGTAAAGAAATGCATGAAAAGATGCTCCACATCTCGTGTCACAAGAGAAATGCAAATTAAAATGATGGGAGTCCACTAGCACCTGTTCGAATGGTAAAAATCCAGAACACTGACACTACCAATTGCCGGAGATTATGTAAAACAGCAGGAACTGATTCACTGTTGGTTGAAATTTTTCAAAATGACAAAGTCACATGGAAGACAGTATGGCAGTTTCCTGCAAAGCTAAACATACTCTTACCTACAATATAACAATCATACTTACCCAAATGAGTTGACAACTTATGTCCACACATAATGTGCACATGGATATTTATAGCAACCTTACTCATCATTGCCAAAGTTTGGAAGCCATCAAGATGTCCTTCAGTAGGTGAATGCATAAACTGTGGTACATCTAGACAGTGGAATATTATTCAGTACTAAAAATAAATGAGCTACAAGCCATACGAAAACATGGAGGAAATTTAAATGCATGTTATTAGGTGACAGAACACAACCTAAAAAAACCCACCTATTGTACAATTCCAACTATATGACTTTCTGGAAAAGGCAAACAAACTATGGAGACAATAAAAGATTAGAGGTTTCCAGAGATTGGTGGGAGGAAAGGATGAATAGACAGAGCACAGAGAATGTTTAGGGCAGTGAAACTACTTTGTATGACACTATAAAGGTGGGTGTATATCACTATACCCTTGTTAAAACCCATAGAACACACAACACAGAGAATGAACCCCATTGCGATTCATGTACTTTGAGGAATGGTGTGTCAGTGCAGGTTCATCAATTGGAACAAGGGTACCACTCTAGTGGGGAGGTTGTTAATTAAAAAGCTTTGCATGTGTGAGGGCAAGGGGCAGATGGGATGCACCTTTACTTTGCTCTCAATTTTTCTTTAAGCCTAAAATTGCTCTAAAACATACAGTGTATTTTAAAATAATTATTCATACATTAAAAATAAACCTAGTCTGTGCCAACATAATATATTTTATGAAAAATAACTATATCCCCCAAAAATAAATAATATGAAAAAAGGATCCAAAATATTCACAATGACATTTTCCCAGTGGATTAAAGATTGGGCTAGTGATAAACCTATATTTAATATCTTTCACCTGCCCTACTCTGTCATTTTGTAAATCCTTTATTTCTTTTAGGCATGTTCACCTGAGACTCCAGATAGAAATGCTCAGAAAATAGATTTTTTCATTCTCTGAGCAGTAGGCTAAGAAAAGGTGCCAGAAAGAAATAGTAGCAATATGCATCTGTTTCAGCTATCAGGAAGACCTGAGAAGAGAGCTCAGATTCAGCTATCAGGAAGTCCTGTGAATGGAGTGTCAGCTAGTAGTGTCTAAGTGGCCTTTTCTTTTGCTGCTCTTCCATGCCAAGTTTAAATACAATTATCATGGATGACCCACAACCCTAGAATAGATCTGAAGCCAATATATTGCAAATATAACTCAGTGGGAAGCATGTTGTGATACAATATAGTTTTTCAGATGAAGGGCCTGAAAAGTAAATGATGTTTCAAGGGCTGGCTGCTGTATTCTGAGGCTGGTAGGACAGTGTATTTGGCATTAGGTCTTAGGAAATATGAGTTTACAACACCAGTGGTCTTTTCCTAGATTTGCAAGTGACTTACCCCAAGGACTTTGGGTTCCCCCTTCAAAAACTTCTCTTGCAATCCTTTCCACAAATATGAATGTAAGACAGCCACGTTTCCCAGCTGGGGCACACCAGGGCCAGCCCCTGGCATGGCCTGTTCCATTCCTTGCATGGTTGTCATGGCAGCAGAAAAGGTGCTACAGTAAGAAAGAAACGTGACTTAGGATGAAGTCCTGGAAATGACAAAGGAAGGACATGACACTTTGGGGCAGGTTCCTCCCTAAGGACAAAATCTGGTCTACATTCCCCTCGTATGTCTAAATAGCTGTTAGAGCCTGGGAAGTGGAATAGGCAACACATTAAATGTCGGGGAGAGAGGGAGAAGCTTCCTGTCATATGATATCAAGGTGTTAGAAAGTCCTGAAGAGAGGGACATGTTGACAGAAGTGAGGTAAACATGTTGGACCTTCAAAATTAGAGAAATTTCTTTAAGTTCAAATTCCAAATCTGCTCAGATTTTATTTCTATCCCTCTTACTGCCTAGTCACTTGATTATAGCCAGTTCCCCATGAAAGATTACTTTTATAATAGTAACAAGCTACACAAAATCATCTGTCTTCCAATTTATTATATAGTATTGTATGGTTCCCCCTTTTCTAATCAAAGCACAATTAAATTCACAGGGCTGAAAATATTATTGAGATGTTTCATGACTCACTTCCATAAATTCTTAGGGAAGTGAAGCTTGCTAATGTCCTTCAAGTAATAGTTAATTTTGATACCATTTATACTCCATTGAAACCCCATAAAAGTCTCACGTTTGGAGATGTCTGCCCTTTTATTGGTAACATAAATGAAAAAAAAAGTGTTGTTATACTTCAAATTTGCTGTGTTGAGAAAAAATTAAGACTTATTTGAAAAAATTAGCATACTGTATTAATTTTGATACATCAATGGAAATAAATTATTAGCAATCTAACAATAAAACTGATTAAACTCAGAAGGAGGAGGGTGAATTTCAGAGAAAGATAGAAAAGTTAAAATGAGACAACAGATTCTGGAGAGGATATGGAGAAAAAGGAACACTTTACACTGTTGGTGGGAGTGTAAATTAGTTTAACCATTATGGAAGACAGTGTGGCAATTCCTCAAGGATCTAGAAATAGGAATTCCATTTGACCCACCAATCCCATTACTGAGTATATACCCAAAGGATTATAAATCATTGTATTATAAAGACACATGCACACATATGTTCACTGCAGCACTGTTTATGGTAGCAAATACCTGGAACCAACCCAAATGCTCATCAATGATAGGCTGGACAAAAAAATGTGGCATATATACACCATGGAATATTATGCAGCCATAAAAAATGATGAGTTTGTGTCCTTTGTAGAGACATGGATGAACCTAGAAATCATCATTCTCAGCAAACTGACACAAGAACAGAAAATCAAATGCTGCATGTTTTCCCTCATAGGCGGGTGATGAATAATGAGAACACTTGGGCACAGGGAAGGGAACAACACTCACAGGGCTAGGTGGAGGGGGAGAGGGGATGGGAGAGGAGGGACAGTGTTGGGGGAGGATGGGGAGGAATAACACGGGGAGAAATGCCTGACATAGGCGATGAGGGCAGGGGAGGATGCAGGATGTACACATGTACCCTAGAGCCCAAATGCAATAATAAAAGAAAAAGACAAATATATTAAATAAAAAATGTAAATATGACTGAAGTAGTTAAGGAATTAAATATAAGAATGTAACCAAAAAGTTTATGTTATCACTTTTAGAAAAGTTCAGAAAACAACTTGGACAAACAGAATTAGAACTCCATTTTGTTATGAAAGTGGGAAACAACTAACATTTCTATAAATCAGGTAAAATGAGTGTTAAAAACAAAGATTACATGAGGATAAATTTGGAGGAAAGTGTAGACAGAGTATGAAAGAAGTGGGACACCATGGCCAGAGATTTCAGAGTATACTTATCAAAGATGAGAGGCTCCCTGAGGTATATAACATAAATTATTGTTATAATCCTGAGAATTAAATACATAAGTTGATAACTATCACTTCCCTGGAAAAGTATAGTTCTGAGAATCATCAAAGTCAGCAGTAAAGGAGAAATTACACTGAAAAGCCACATGTTTAGAAAGCAATCAGTCTCGAAATAAGTCTTACACTGGATTCCATAAAGAAGGAAGTAGATATTCTTGATACAACCTCCAAGAAGTCCCACAGAATAGGAGCATCTGTGTGTCTGTATCTATAGAATATGTAAAGAGTATGGATAACTTGTTCAAATAAAAATGAAATCACAGAAATGAAAAGTCAAAGATAAAGTGCAAAAAGTGACACAACATATTTGCAACATGGTCTCAAACAAATTTCAAATGTAATATAATGTTGACCAAAAAAAATTGGCCAATGTATTGTATTTATTTTTACTTTTTTGAGACGGAGTTTTGCTCTTGTTACCCAGGCTGGAGTGCAATGGTGCAATCTTGGCTCACCACAACCTCTGCCTCCTGGGTTCAGGCAATTCTCCTGCCTCAGCCTCCCAAGTAGCTGGGATTACAGGCATGTGCCACCATGCTCAGCTAATTTTTTGTATTTTTAGTAGAGACGGGGTTTCACCATGTTGACCAGGATGGTCTCAATCTCTTTACCTTGTGATCCACCTGCCTCAGCCTCCCAAAGTGCTGGGATTACAGGCGTGAGCCACCACACCTGGCCAATGTATTAAATAACAAGGAATAGCTGTAAATAGAGTTAGTCAACTGGAAGACAAATTTTAAGAAATCACCAACAGTTCTATAGAGAAACAAGAAAATGGTCATAATAGAAGAGAGTTAAAAATATTAGAAGTGTACAATTAAAAGGTCTAGAATATGTCTGATTAGAATTCTAGAGAATGTCACCAAGATGGCCAACTAGAAGTTACTAACCCTCATCACCATCAACGCACACACGCGCGCGCACGCGCACACACACACACACACACACACACACACACACAAATGAATAAACTATATTCCAACCAAAATAACTGAAGAAGAGCACCAGAAAACAGCAAAGGAGTCGCAGAAATCTTGTGGAGCACTGAAACCCAGGATGGCTGCATGAAAAAGGAGATAAAGCATATTTCTTACACCACCCCTGCCCCCAATTAGCACCAGCTCTGGTTCAGCAGGTCGTTCTTCCTGCAGGGAACAGGTAAGTGAGAGGACCCAGCAGCTCCCATCACCACCACAGACACCTGCAGACTTACTACTGGAGACACTCAGAGTCTTCATAGGCTCTGAGCTCTGCTGTAAGAGCTAACTGAAGTCCACATGTCTGTCCTATCTCAGAGGAGGTGCTGACACTCTGCCCTGGCCTCCATGACCTGAGCTGCTACTGTGCTGCCCCTTCTTGGAACGGAATCACTGCTAGATGCATTCTGCTTCAGGAGTAGCCACTGCACCCCTCCATCTCTGAGGCTTAACCACCACTGTAATACGCATACCTGGTAGCCATACCTGAGTCAAACTGCTGCCATCTACTCTCTACCTTCTGAGGTCAGACTGCCATGGAACTGCTCCATGCCCCCATCTTAGTCACTGGTGCACCCTGGCCCTCCAAACTCAAGCTGATACTGTGTGCCACTCTCTGGGAACACATAGCCTTGATTGAGCTATGTCACACAAACATCCAGGCAAAATAGCTGCAGTGCCTCCATCTCCCTGGAACTAACTAGTCCCTTGGAGTCCATGCTTCTGAGAAACACTGGCTCCCCAGGGGGTCATTTCTGCATTGCTTCAAGAAACCTGAGGATCAAGCCACAGACAGGCCTAGTCATTCCTCAGGCCTTGCTGCTGCTACATTCATCCTTACAGAGCCTGGGATATCGCCATGCCCTCCTATCCGAGGGTCTAGAGTTACCACTATATGGCACCCCATCCCCCAGGGTTGGAGTTGCTGCTGTGTCCGATTGGCTCTGGAACCCAAATTTCAACTGTAACTTGCTCCACAGAGCTGAAGTCTCCAAAGCACCCCTTTTTCCCTGGAGCCATGCTGGTGTTGTACACTGACCCCAGAATCAGTAACTATTCCATCCCTGCCCTATGGGCTTGAGTGACTGAGGTATGTCTCAGTGTCACAGCCTCATCATTGTGGGTAATCTGCATCCAGCCATGTCTCTGTGAGTGAACCTGTGCCACAGCAGTTTTGCAAGATCCTGAGCCTAGGACCCCAGCTCCACAGCCACTGTAATACTTGTGCCTAAAAAGTGCAAGCTGTCAACCTCGATGGCAACCATGTGGTGTTAACTCTACAGACTCACAGACTGCAAGAGCTATAGGTGCATGGCTTTCCCCACCTAGTTTTAAAGGATGTCACAAATTGCTCTGGGAGTGGAGCCACTTCAAAAAGCCTCTATCAGGGCAATGCTGAGTGGGAATACGGGGTCAGAGCCAACACAGAGAGTCCCAGTTAGGGATATGCCTAGGGGAGCCATGGGAGTGAGGCTACCTTTGAGATCTCAGAACTACAGGACCACTAACACACAACTCCAACCTAACAGAGCTGAAGCACCAACTGAGTCCAGCAAAGATATGGGTATAGGGCTATCTGAAGGTCCCCAATCAGTGTCCCCAGGATTCAGGACATGGAGTCAAAGGAAATTATTCTCCAGATTTAAAGCTTAATGCTGTTTTCTCGGCTAGGTTTTGGACTCACTTGAAACCAGTTAGGCCCTTTTCTTGCCTAGTTCTTTCTTTTGAACTGAGAGAGTCTATTCTGTACCTGTCCCACCGTTATATTTTGAAAACAAATCACTTGTTTTGATTTCACAGTCTCACAGCTGGAAACATTTGTCTCCAGATAAATCATACCTCTAGTCTCATCCATATCTGCTTCTGATGTGACTCAACTTAGAATGTTAGAAGTGATGCTGGAATGGGTAAAAATTTTCAGGCTATTGAGATAGAATTATTGTATTTTGTATGTGACAAGAACTTGAGTTTGGGAGGGTTGTGGATAAAATGCTATGGTTTCAGTGTCCCCTCTAAAACTCATGTGAAAACTTAATTGCCATTGTAACAGTATTAAGAGGCGGGACCTTCAAGAGGTAATGACATCAGGAGACCTCTACTTGCATGAATGGATGGATGTCCTCATCATTGGACATGGTTGGTTATCACAGGAGTGGACTCCTGATAAAATGATACATTTGGTCACATGTCTCTGCTTTGTGTGCTCACTTCCACCTTCCTCCCTGGGATTACCCTCACCAGAGGTTCACACCATGCATTGCCTTAGACTTCCCAGCCTCTAGAACTATAAGCCAAATAAAATTTTAAAATAAGTTGCCCAGTCTTCAATGGTCTTTTATAGTAGCAGAAAAAAAACATCAAAAATTTAGGAACTGCTTGTAGAGTTCTGAATAATTTCCACATACTATTCTTGCACCACTTTACTTTTTTGAAAGAGAACTTTTGAGAAATACTGGATATCTTCTATTTAGATCTTCTAATGTTTGAAATAAAAATTACCTTTTCTCCCTTCTGGGACAGTTGGTAAATTGTCAATTTATGGGCTTTTTATAATGACATTAAGCCTAGATGGGGACAATTCTCCCAAGTTTAACAAAATTTGAGAGTATGAATTAAACTTAAGACCAAAAATAAGCGCTGCTATTCTATTTTATCCCTTTGCTCCATATCTAAATTTTGTGTTCTGCTCAGGGGTTGCTAAAGTGTGCAGATATGTCTGAATATATCTACTCAATAACATGTAAATGTAACCTACCTCATAAACTCCATTATCATTGGAACAGAGACTGCAAGAGGAAGAGGAGGGCCTCTCGTCCCACCTCTGTATAGTCTTGTATCTAACTCATTCCATGATAGCAAAAATAGAGGACAATCCTGACTCTTCTGACCAATCTTTGAGACAGACTGCAAAAAAGAGGAAGAGTCAACCTCTGACAACATGGCATCATGAATAACATGCTGTCACCAATTATATAGACCCCTCTCCTCTGCTTTTCTACTTATCCCAAGACTGGAGCAGGTTGAAGCGGGGGCGTGCTAGAAATAAAGTCCTCTCCAGCATTTCGTTAAGTGGCAGGAAGTGTTAGAGGAGGTTTATGTTTTATACTTCAAGCCAGAAATGAGTAAGTGAGAGTAGGAACACTGATAAAAGTATTTAATATGTACTTAGCATTTATTAAATAACATGGATTGGTTTAAATGTTTTATATGTGTTATTTCATTATCAAATTCCCCTAAGAGATATACTCTATTATTCACAGGACAGAATTACAGAAACAGAAGATCAAGTAACTTGAGTAAAGAGTGCCAGAGCCAAAAATTAAATCCAGGTGATGGAATTCCAGAACCCCTTTGCTTAAGAGGATCCACTACACTAGTCTGGTGAATAGAAGATCTCCTCTGTTTGCACAAAAATTTGTACAGTGAATTTTCTTAGCAGTATTATCTATAATAGCCAAAAGGTGGAAACCACCCAATTTGGAATAAGTTAGATACACGACTATGTAGAGGTGGGCCAAGAGGCCCTATTTTTGCTCTTTCAGTCTCTGTTCCAATGATAATGGAATTTGTGAGGTGGGTACATTTACATGCTATGGAGTAGGTATATTTAGACCTATATGTACACCTTAGCATCCCCTGGGCAGAACACAAAATTTAGATTTGGAGCAAATGGCTAAAATAAAATAGGTCTTATTTTTCATCTTACATTTAATCCACATCCTCTAATCTTATTACACTTGGGGGAATTGTCCCTCTCTGGGCTAACTTAAAATCATTATAATAAAGCCCATAAATTGACAATTTACCTCTCCAGAAGAGAGAAGAGCTAATTTTTATTTCAAAGCTTAGAAGACCTAAACAGAAGATATCCAGTCTTCCTCAAAATTTTTCTTTCAAAAAAGTAAGGTGGTGCAAGGAATAGTAAGTGGAGATTATTTCAGAGCCCTACAAGTAGTCCTTAATCAAGAGTGGCAAGAGTTAAATGTAACAGGAACCCTAAGAGGCTTATGGGACTGCAAATGTCCTTTTCTTGGTGGAAGGCCCAGAAATTAACTTCATTGTCCATGTTAAAGATCCAGAAGCTTAAAGTTGGGTATTGTGGCTCACTTTGAGAGGCCAAGGTGGGAGGATCTCTGGAGCCCAGAATTTCGAGATCAGACTGCGGAACATGGCAAAACCCCATCTTTACACAAAATACAAAAGGAGCTGGGTGTGATGATGGGCGCCTGTAATCCCAGCTACTCAGGAGGCTGAGGTGGAGGCTGCAGTAAGCCACGATGGCACATGTATACTCTAGCCTGGGCAACACAGTGAGACTGTGTTGCCTTCTATTGTCTACCCTCTATGCTCGATCAATCTCATTCTAATCCTACAGAACCATTTTTCAATTTATTTCTGTGTATTTCTCCCATCTTCTCAAGGCAAGCCATTATCCTGTATTTGTCTGAAGTATTCGTTATAGCCTCTGAATGTGCCCTGTGTCCATTTGTGGCTTTCGGTAGTCAATCTACCACTGACTTTGTAACCAGAATGATCAAATACAAAAACGATTGTGTCACCCTGCCCTTTAAAAGTCTTCCTTTGCATTTCATCACCCTTAGCACAAAGTTAAAATTTTTAATGTTGATAAAACTCTGCTACTTCAGCACAAATCTATTGTCGTAGACTTAACTCGAATGTCTCTCCTTTTCATTTTTAAAGACCCAAGTATATCTGACTTATTTAAGTTGTTCCAAAGAGGTAATTTTATTTCTATATTGAGACATTTGCAAATATTGAACCCATTTGTGGGAATGTTTCACCCCTCCCCGTGGCCACCTTGTCAGAACAAAAACAAACCCACCACATCATCTAATCTTCTCACACACTAACATCATTGCATGGTCTCTGTCTTCTCTCAACACCATTTTCCCCCTTCCCCACCATTGCCCACACGTGGATTAATCAACCTATGATGGTAACTAAGGGTTTAAGCAATCTATATTATTTCCCTTTTACGTCACAGAAGTCAAAGTTATTTGGAAAGTAACTAACGATGATTCTTCTTATTCCATCTAAATGTGTACTTTATTCGTCTTTAATGTAAGGGAACCTCTGTCTCAATCTCTTAGACACAGCTTCAGACTGAGAATTTAGGAAATGTTGGGTCTGTCTTGTCAAATGCACTAGTGGTTCTCCCTGTGTTTAGTGTTTCTCTCTTAAGACTGTAAGTTTCCCCAGGGCAGAGCCGTTATATCAAAATAAAACTTATAACCCACTTAAGCTTTTCCATGATTTTTTGGTGACATAGGTCAGGTTCTGGTCATTCAAGGCTGGTGCTTTGGCATTCTAAGAAACTCTGGTCGTAAACTCATATAACTGCTCCCTATTTTTACACCACAGAAATTCAAATCCATGTGTTACTTACTTATGGCAGATAAAGTCCCCCAGGACAAAAACATGTGTTAACCATCCAGGGCTCGACATCTCTATACTCAAAAAAATTTTTAAACTGCTGAGAATATTGGAAACATATGAGGGACATTTCTTCTGGGTATGAGAAGAATCTAAACCTTGGTTTTGTCCCATCACCTATATGCCTGAGGCTCTTGACAACAACAATGTCTTCCCCAACCCCCACCGGATAAAGAGGTGGGGGGATCTAGACCACCCTTCCCTCTTCCATTGGCCTCAGTCTCCGTGTGGATCAGCAGCAGCACCAGTCTCTTGTTTTCTCATTTTTATGTCACCACCTGCCCCATGGATCACAATTGCAAAAAGAGAACATGAGGAGAGTGGAACAAATGGCCATCTTTTTTTTTTTTTTTTATCTTGGCAAAGTTATTAAATAGACTAGAAACCTAAAATGAGGCCTGAACCTGGATGGTTTTTGGGAGGATGATGGGGAAGCAGAAATGCTGGCACAGGGAGGGAAACGGCCTGGACTAGGAAACAAGAATGCTGGGTTTTTTGCTCCCAGCACTTTTATTAACTTGTGTGATTCTCGGTCCATTATTTCCCTTTTCTGGGTTTCATTTACTTCATCTGGGGAAAGATTACAATGGCTATGACTATATACAAGCTTATTTCTTATCCCACAAATGCTAAAAGTCTGCAAGGTGTTTTTCATTAACAAATTTTCTCATGAGCAGCCTCAGTTTACTGCCTGGGTGCCCCATGAATAGTGCCAAAGACCACTGGGGAACTAGATAGAGCCACAGCCCCATGTACAAGGCTGGGGACCCTGCCGGTGCCCTGCTCCATGTACACCAAATTCTGCACGTGGTAGATATTTTCTTAAATCTTAAATTCCAAAAATAACCAGTCAGGGACAGAATAAAGACAGTGGAAGAAGGACATTAACAGTAGATGAGGTAATTAATCAAAAGTTTAAAATACTGCTTTCTGTGTTGTGATATTCTGAGGACTTGGGGAACAACAGTAAGTAAAACAACCTCATCCAGCCTCCAACTTCAGTGTTTAGGACACTTTTCTAACTCCCATAGACTGTAGCAAGGACTGTTCCTCATCCCCCGACCAAATGCACATTTAAAGGTGCCCTCAACCCACCCCAATCCTGAATATCAGCTTGAGTCATGAGAAGTGGCTTCATTTTTTTCTCACTCCGCTCCCGGAAATCCTAAACCCAGGAAATAAACCATCAGCCCAAAAGTGTAGGAAGGCAAGTCCCTGGACCTACCTTTCTTCAGGCCTGCAACGTCCACCGTAGGTCTGATGTGCGCAGTGCTCTCGGCAAGTTCCTAAAATTTCTTTGGTTCAAACACTGAACTTCCCCACTCTACACCTCACTCAGTTTAAATCTGCATTCCTCTTCTAGCAGATGTTTGGAAACTTAAAGGCTGTGTTGAGAGTTTCTGAGAGGCACAACTAGTTCCTCTTTTATATCGGAAGCATAACTGATTTTGTGTTCCCAATATGGGTGGGGATGTCTATTCTGAAATTTGCTGAAAAAGCAGTGACTGCCTGATACAGTCTTTCCTATGAAAATAATAGGGCTAATTACTGTGGATATCAGTGGTGGAGGATCTACTGTATGCCAGCCTCTGCTCAAAGGTCATTATATACACAAGTTAAGTAAATGGTATTTTGTAAATGCCCCTCTTCACAGTTTCACATATTCCACAGTACTCTTTCGGGAGAACTATTTTATTACACTGGTGCAAAAGTAATTGTGGTTTTTGCCATTATTTCATGGCCAAAATCACAATTACCTTTGCATCAAACTTAATGCACACAACTTAACTGTTTTGTTTACATGAAATCCCACCTTTAGAGATTCATCATGAGTGGCCATAAAATACCAACACACTGGTTGTATGGCAATAAAACAACACCTTTCTAAGTGAAGGAAGCAGCTGGTATCCAAAACAAGCTGGTCTTTGACGAAGATAAAACCAATGGCAATCATTTATTGCATGACCTTGTTACTAACCTGAACCTAAGATTCACTTGTAAGATAAAATAATGCCTACTTTACATGGAGGAGGAAAGCAAAGTGGTGGGCAATTTTCATTCATTCAACGTTTTCTTTAGAAAATCTACTAAAGCCACGGTGACTCATGCCTGTAATCCCAGCACTTATGGAGGCCGAGGCAGGCAGATCACCTGAGGTCAGGAGTTTGAGACCAGCCTGACCAACATGGAGAAACCCTGTCTCTACTAAAAATACAAAATTACTTGGGAGACTGAGGCAGGAGAATTGCTTGAACCCAGGAGGCGGAGCCAAGACCATGCCACTGCACTCCAGTCTGGATGAGAATAAAATTCCATCTAAAAAAAAAGAAAAACTGCCATAAGCCAAACAGTGTGCCATGTGCTTCTGATAAAATGGTAAAAAAGTAATTTTCACTCGAGGAGTTTATAGACTACTTGGAAAAACAGACCAGTAAATAAATCACTACAACCCATTATAATCAGTTACCTGCAAGGTCAAGTGGCAATACAGATGAGTAAATAAATCATTACAACCAATTATAATCAGAAAGGTAAAATGAGATACCCTAAAAGAGTTTGAAATTCTGCATTAAGGTCAGGTGTCAATGTCTCCCCCCACTCCATGTGGTGTGAAATGAGACATTATTAGCTTATTAGCAGGCAACAGTTTCAAGAGAACAATAACATGAAACTCAACAGAGAAACATATATCTTATAGAATCACTCCACCTCTAAGTAAACATCAAACAAAACTAACTACTATAGAAATAAGAGCAAAACAGAAAGAGCTCAAGTTCAGTGTCAAAACTACAAGAAGCAGGGGAGTAGGTTGGAGCCCAGAGCAGTTGTTAAGGCTTTTTAAAATTATATTGGAAAAGCTGGGTCAGTTGTTCCTCTTTCTCTTGCACAGGCATCACATAACAAGATGTTTATTCCAAAAACAAAATATGAGAGCTGTTTTATGAGCAAAATTATGGTTCTGCTCTAGATAAATATGCAGAATGTGAGTGCCAGCTCTGCATAAAGAAAAAACAGGAAAGAGACAAGAACAACATCTAAACTTTAATTAACAGGGTATAAAGAAAAAGAAAAAAGCAGAGAAGGTTATTATGGAATCGACCCCTAAATGAAAGTCCCAAGTTCACTCTCTGGAGCTGGGATTCTGATCATGGAGACAGAGAGGTCACCTTAGTCTGGAGAAGCAGGGGGCTTTCTCCCACCTACATCACAGTCAGTGTCTGTATGTGTAACCTGGCTTCATGCCCACTCCTGTCCCTCAGTCACCAGATGTAGGCTATGGAAGCAGGACCTACATTCCCTGATAGAAGAGAAATTACCAAATGAAATTGTAAATGGACTAAATGGACACTGAAGATTTAAGGAAACCAATAACGTAAAACAGAAAAACCAAACACAACAAAGAAATGAACAGACAAAAAATGTTTTCTATTTTTTGGGCAATGGTTCTTTATACCCGTATCTCCCCTTTATTGCATTATTTTCTCCCTCCAATTAATTTAATAGTTATAAAGTCCTTTACGATGTGTTTTCTTGTAATCTTAAAATTAAAGCATGTACATTTGATTTATCACTTTTCAGTAAGAATTAGAACTTTTATTGCCTGCAGGAAAGTCAATAGTGTGATGGTAGATTTAATGCCAAATATATGAATATCTATATGTAATAAAGTACAAGTATTTCAGACAAAATCTTAAAAACTCAAAACTGAACTTACCATATGAAAGAAGTATATTTTACTGCATACAAAAAGTATAAAGTTAAAGGATGAGAAACAACATATTAAGCAAACCCCAAACCAAAAACTTATCAAGGCTGAAGTTAGAGCAAAAAATGTTACTGATGAACACAAGAATTATTTCTTACTTATAAAAATAGTTCAATTTTCAGGAAGATATAATCATTTTAAGTGTATATATATCCAATGATAGACCCTCTAAATATATAAAGCAAAAATTCACTACCCACAGAGTTTCAGATTATATTTTAATACATATTTTTGAAATATTTGAATATTTGAAAATATCTTTTATTTAACCTTAATAGTAATTAAGAAAATGAAAATTGAAACTGCAATTAGACACCACGGTACATCTACCAGAATCAGAAAATGCTCTTTAATAAAAGCATCACAAATTCTGGACTCACTTCTCTGAGTTTACTTATTGTTTTATTTTTCTTTCCAACTTTGTTTTCGGTTCAGGAAGTGCATGTGCAGGTTTGTTATATGAGTAAATTGAATGTTGTGAAGGTTTGATGTACACATTTTTTCATCACCCAGGTAATAAGCACAATGCACAATAGGTATTTTTTTTATCCTCACACTTTTTCCACCCTCCACCCTCAAGTAGGCCCTAATGTCTATTTTTTTGTTATTTCTGTCTATATGTACCCATTGTGTAGCTCCTACTTCTAAGTAAGAACAAGTGGTATATTATTTTCTGTTTCTGTGTTAGTTCATGTAGGATAATGGCTTTTGGCTTCATCCATGTTGCTGCAAAGAACATAATCTCATTCATTTATGAACAAAGCTCATTCATGGTTTTGTTGCGTTTCATGGTGTGTATGTACCACATTTTGTTTATCCAGCCCACTGCTGATGGGCATTTAGGTTGATTCCATGTATTTGCTATTGTGAATAGTTCTGCAATGAGCATATTCATGTACGCATCTTTGTGGTAGAACAATTTATATTTTGGAGGGTTTATACCCAGTAATGGGATTTCTACATCAAATGGTAGTTCTTATTTGAAGCTCTTTGAGAAATTTTGAAACCACTTTCCACAGTGGCTGAACTATTTTACATTCCCATCAGGAGTGTATAAGTGGTCTTTTTTTTCTACAAACCTGACCAGCATGTTATTTTTTCACCTTTTAATAAGAGTCATTCTGACTGGTGCGAGATGGGATCTCATTGTGGATTTGTATTTCTCTAATGATTGGTGATGTTGAGCATTTTTTCATATGCTTTTCAACTGCATGTATGTCTTCTTTTGAGAATTGCAACAAAAACAAAACTTTACAAATAGGACCTAGTTGAACAAAAGGGCTTTTTACAGCAAAGGAAGCTATCAACAGAGTAAACAGACAACCTATAGAAAGGGAGAAAATATACACAAGCTATTCATCTGATAAGTCTAATATCCAGAATCTATAAAAAACTTAAATTAACAAGAAAAAACAATCCCATTAAAAACGGGCATAGGACATGCACTTCTTTTGAATCACTAAAGGGAAATCCCATAGGATGGTGAATCACTGCTGCCTATATAAATCCTCTGACCTCTCTCTCCTCCTACTCTTCAGTTCCTGCCACTGGCCAAGCCTAACCAAATGCCAGAAATCACCTCTACGGTTTTCTCCTGTTTCCAAAGTGGTTTATGTTGTTATTTTCCAAAGTGTTTCAGTTGAACCCTAGTTCTCTTAGATGCTTTGAGGGGCAAAAACGGAGTGAGTAGATCTCATGGACCATTAATTTAGGAGGCATTAGAAACTCATCAGTCTAAAGCAAATATACATTTGTCTCATGAATGCAAGTTCTAGAATCAGACAGAACTAGGTTTTAATCTTATCCCTTAAATGACCTGGAGCACCTTTGATCAGTTATGAATTTTATATAAAGCACAAATCAGAAAACAATAGCTAATAAGTACTCCCAAATTAGAGATCTGTTGCATCTGTCTCTCAATAACTCATGAAATAATTAGCAAAACTGATTAATTAATCATACCCAACAGGTTATTTGTGAACAACCAAGCAACTAATCATCAAAAAGGAGGATTTATTTCAAGGGAATTCTTAGTAGTAGAGACCTTTTTGGCATTTCCCACATTGGCCCTCACACGTAGATAGGTGCATGGGCAATAAATGAACTCTTTGGAAATGTAGGGGGTGGGTATCAGAACAGGGGTAATATCATTTGGATATATGTCCCCACTCAAATCTCATGTCAAAATGTAATCTCCAGTGTTGGAGATGGGGCCTGGTGGGAGGTGTTTGGGTCATAGGGGACGATTCCTCATTTTGGTGCTATCCTTGCTATAGTAAGTTGATCCCAGGATCTGGTTTTCGGAAAGTGTGGCACCTCTCCATCTCCCTTGCTCCTGCTCTGGCCATGTGATGTCCCTGCTCCTGCTTTTGCCTTCTGCCATGAGTAAAAGCTCCCTGAGGCCTCCCCAGGAGCTGAACATATGCCAGTGCCATGCTTCCTCTACAGCCTGCAGAACTGAGTCAATTAAACCTCTTTTCCTCCTAAATTACCCATTCTTGGGTATTTCTTTATAGCAATGCAAGAAAGGATAACTCAGGGAGTTTGGAATTTTACTTGCTGAGCTCCAGAAAACCGGAACAAGCCCCAATCTGCCACCAACACAAGGCCCAAGCAAGCCTCTGGTGTTTGCTGGCACATGATCTCTGGTGTTGGGG